AAACAATGCTAAATACAAATGAAGCATATAATAAAAAAATAAAAAAATAGGATTAAAAAAAACGTCCTATATATTTTGTTGCTGGCATCAAAAAGAAGTTTTGTTTATTTTTGTGCAATAAAAAAATTTGGTATTGAGCTGAATAAGTTAATATCGACTATAAAATCTGGAACCTGAAGCTGAACCACCAAATCTAGCTGGTTCCCAATTTTTTACAGCAGTGGCCCACTAGGGGGCCTCAGTAAACTTCAGCAAGAAGAATGTAAATTGAAAAAAGTAACAAACCACTAAAGTGCAACATACAATGCAACATCTAAACTGACATCAAATTTCTTACTCTGGACAAAAAATCAGGAACTTAACAAGCAAGAGCACAATGACTGACTTCTTTAATGTAATAAATGGGATGGCAAAATGACAAGGTTGCCATCTCCTAATTATATAGGTCTCTGTTCATGGCCGAGCCAAACAAGTAGCTACCTATAGATGTTTGTCGTTAGGTGGTGTTTTTTTCTGTCTCTGGAAAACAACATGCTCCTTGTAATTACATGCTTTGATCTGAAGATACTGTTAGCAGAACAACTATTGAACAAGCCCTCTAAAATGCAAGAACACATATACAGGTGCATCTCAATAAATTAGAATGTCGTGGAAAAGTTCATTTATTTCAGTAATTCAACTAAAATTGTGAAACTTGTGTATTAAATAAATTCAATTGAGCCAAAATCATCACAATTAAAAGAACCACTTACTTAAACTACTTCAGTCTGTGTGCATTGAATTTATTTAATACACGAGTTTCACAATTTGAGTTGAATTCCTGAAATAAATGAACTTTTCCATGACATTCTAATTTATTGAGATGCACCTGTATATATAGGTTTTTTTTTTCAGACATGTCAGCTTTAACTCAAACTGCACTATTGAGGATCAGATGGTGGAATAGGCTCCCGCTGGCACAGCCATTATCTGAATGTCGCTGACTGTCTGGGTCGCTGTTTGAAAAAGAACACAGTGAGAAAAGCAGCAGGGACAGACACTTTTCTGTGTGTCTGTGTCTGTCACGGCAGTTTACAGCCTCAACACATTAAAATGTCTTTATAATGAACCCCAGTGTAACCTACATCTGAGCTGAAGTGTGTCATTTTGTTCAAATGCTTTCTTTTATCCCATAATATTCAAATACAAATATAAGTAAGCCATTTGTAGCTTTATTATACTTTTTGTAGGTGTAAACGCTTTTTCTGTGGTGCTACCAAAACTTTTCTGTTTGCTTGAGCAGCCAAACAACAGTGATTGGTCATTTGTGAATGGTTTGTTTATTTTTCGTTTGTTACATGACAAATGAATGCAAGACTCTGGACTCAGAAGGTGAACTAATCATTTATGTTTCTCATAATTTTTCTTGGCTGCATTTGAATGATTTCTTAATTCAGAATATGATCAAAGATTGCTTATGTGGACGTGTTTGTGGGTTTTGACTATCGAAAAGATAACAATTTAATGACTTAATGAAAGATTAGTTCATTTTGCTGAACGAAATTCAAAGATTAAGTCAATAAAGACAGATCTTCTCATCACTAAACAGCAACAGTGTTTCAACCAGTGGTGTGAGTTTGGGGGGCAGGGCTGTCCATTTTGTCCAACTAATCACAGACAGGAAGAGTGTTTGGGGAAACCCGTTTGAAAATAGTAATTATTTTTTTTACAATAGATGGTGCTTGTGCCACAGAAATGACAAATTATGACAATTGACTGTTATCTTCATTCATTACGTTCACGACATGATGTTTTATTAACAAGAGTTGGGAGGAGCACGATCAGATAATCAACCAATTTGGCACAGGTGTAACTCGTTTAGCTAACCATCCTAACTACCACAATACGTGTGTGTGTATATATATATATATATATATATATGCAGCCTACATGCCTCTGTCCTACACAGTTTTCCGGCATTCCCTCCTCCACCCCAACTCCCAATCTATTTTCCTCCCATATTAGGGATAGGGGGAGTTCTCTGGGTTCGGGCTATATTCTGGGCTCGGAGCTCTCCCCCAGGACAGTGTGCCAAAATATGCTTACTATTTGCTATCAGATTAGATGTAAGGGTGAACTCGTGAAATGTAATAAGGAAGCAAGCAGAAGCTGTCTAAACTAAAAAGAGTCTACAGGGAGAAAAATAGAGTGTCAAAGTGGGAAAGTCAATTTGAACACTGTGTTAAGGGATTTTTGTCCCTTTCTCCTTTCTTGAGTGCTGTGTTAGCATCTGTGATTTGTGTTGTGAGGTTCATGGCTCAGACTACAAGAGGGTGAATAACTGCCAGCTGTCGTCCTCTTTCTCTGATTCATTCTCTCGCACTATGTTGACCTTCCCACATTTCCACCTCTTCACTTTTGATCATGCTCAAACAAGGAATCACTCTTTGTTGTTGATGTTCTTCCTTTGGGACTGTATGTGTCATTTGATCGACCACATTGCTATCTGATTGGATCTGTACATTGTATTTACACTTGGCCAAATAAATGTGTTTCCACATGTGATGTAGGCCACAATTGCTTTGATGATTGCAATATAAAATGCAATAGCTGTTATGGGCCACATTTTATTTGGTGCTGTTCCCAAACAAGCTTCTATATGTTGAGGCTGTTCATTCTGAAAACAGTAGCAATTGCGTATATGGCCTCCTGAGGTGGTTTGAATGATCACATTGCTATCAAATGTGACTTGCAAGGGCTTTTACACTTGTTTTTTTCATTATCGGTTAGCTAGCTGATCAGTAAAACGCCTGCAGTGTAAATACCATCTTCTTAATCTTGGCTCAATTCAGTGAAGAACGGAATGACAATGACAATCACTGTAAAGTGACTTTCGTTGTCAGCCTCAATGATGAATTTCTCACAAGAAGACTGTTCTGTCGTCAAGTATTCACAGTAATGAGGTAAATGTGTAGGAAACTGTGAGATCTCATTAACTTATTTTGTGAGATTCCTCATTATTAGCAGGTAACAGTTCTGGTGTCTTGGTGGATCACATGTGTCAGTTTAAGCAGCATGGTGCAACTACACCACACAAAGCAAGACTATTTAACATGATTCTTATGAAGTTTTGACAGCTCATAACCATACTGTGCACGGCTTGGGAGAGAGACCGAAAGTATAATTATAATGCGCAGGTTTTGATGAGCGTCTTTGTTCCCTCAGGTCACAAACTGCCATCGAAGTCAGGTGCTTAAATGGAGACAAGCCAGCGAGATCTCGGTTCACACCTACAAAATCCATATGATGTCATTTACGAGGATAGTAAATGTCAGCCTGGCACTAAATTACTCTTAACTACTGTCATATTCATCTGTGACGTACAGGTGAATTCCAATGAGCTGAACACAAGTCTCCTCACACTTCATTTCAACACTGGGTTCATTGAATATTGTGCTGAAATCAGATCAGTCAGGCGGAAAGCAATATGGCTTCTGCAAATTGAGTTGGTGCTCAATTAATCATAAGAGCTAATGGAGCCATAACTCTATCGGGACACAAATATCATAAATTAAAGTTATATCATTATATGTAGTAGCTGCTAAATGCGTTTTATTGACTGTTTCCTACACAACACCCCATGACTAAAAGCCAGTCATGTGATGGATTTATTTATTATTAATAAATATAATTAACTTGTTGTTTTAATGTTCATTTTATTACAAAATGTTTATTAATAATAATGAATACAAATATTAATAACTTAAAAAATGACAGATGTTGCAAAAATTAAGATTTTAGTAGACAAACAAGTAACGTTAAACACATTTTAAAATTGTAAAACGAAAGCAGGCATACATGGTAGTTAAAATAAAAATCGAATACAGATTTTTTTTTTTTTTTTGCACACAGATTTTAAGCACAACCACATTGCTTTTATTTAATATGCTAAACCCTAATTAAACCTGAAATTTTGCACCTTTTTCTGTTTGTTTGTGCTATTAAGACTACGAATAAGAGCAGCATCACAAAGTGTTTGTGTGTTTTGAGTAACCTAATTCAGTAATATCGGGGAAAAACATCAAGCATACAAACATATGGTCACAAATATTTAAATCGATCTCAAGGTGCAAAAGAGTTTTGCTTTCTGAGTTTTTTTTTTTTTCTGTATGCCCATGGTCCATTGAGAAGCTAAATGATCCGTCTATCTAAAAGGCTTTATGCAGACCTGATTTAAACAAACAGTTAGAATAGAGATCAGAGGGTTGTCTGAACTGCTCAGATTGTGCTCTCTCTAACATTTGACTGAGAGATTTCAGCCCAGATTCACATTCTGGCTCAACTGTATAGTCTTTGATAGAAATATCTCCCACTGTAGAAGATGCTGCCCAGATCTTTAACCACTAGGCTGTATCACAGCATACATATCAAACATTAAGATCTTTCAGTCTGGTTATTTCATGTGCAAGAGGCACTTTCCATGAATTCTGCATGACTGCTTACGGCTACATCACTTTACACAAGGGAAAGAAGAAGAGATGGGCTCCCCCAATTTGCATTTCTCATCAGGGTCAGAACTGATTTAACATGCAGTGGATCTCTGATGTTGCTTTTGGTTTATAATAAAATGTATGAAACAGCAGTGAAAATATTGAATACTAAAACATCATTACAGCCACATCAGCCAATGCCACCAGAGACACACTGCTTACGAGAAATTATAATAATGGATCAAGAAGAGCTGCTGACAGTGTACCCTTCCCTCTGTCTGATCCTGAAGGTCGTTGCTGCCCTCAGACCCATTTTGATATGCAACATCAGTTTTTATGTGCCATTTAGGCAGTATGACAGCATAAATGAGATTGATGTCCAGGCTATACCTTTTAAAAATGTTTCAATTGAAGAGTTTTCTTTTGTCAGGTCAGGTGCATATGATGTTCACTTAAAAAAAAAGCTTTAAAATACTTTCTTAATGATTGTTTATACATGAATTAAACCACTTTTTTCTATTTCCTCAGGTGTAACCGAGCAGGAAGATGCCGGGAGGATCTAGGCCAGTGGGCTTAGGAGGTCTGCATGCACACACTCAACCTGAAATCAGTGTCTTTCGCATCTATATGAAAGTTTGAGCTGAGAGCGATGGCATCTAGTCTTACATGTGCAGGCGTGGTGTGGGCCCTGTTGTCCTTCCTTTGTGCTGCCACATCTTGCATAGGCTTCTTCATGCCATACTGGCTGCTTGGGTCGCAGATGGGTAAGCCGGTGTCATTTGGAACATTCCGCCGCTGTTCCTACCCCATAAGGGATGAGGCCCGTGGTGGGACAGTTATGTTGGAGCAGTGTGGGCGCTATGCCTCCTTTCAGGGCATCCCGAGTCTGGAGTGGAGGATCTGCACGGTAGTGACGGGGGCAGGCTGTGGACTGCTGCTCTTGGTGGCTCTCACTGCAATCATGGGATGCTGTGTTACGGATCTAATCTCTCGCACCATCGGACGTGTGGCAGGAGGGATACAGTTTGTGGGAGGTGAGTTCAATTACAAGGAGCTTGACTGGAGATTCAGTGGATGGGTAAATGGTGAAATGGTTGGATAAATGAATGTATAGATGGCAGAATGAGTGGATTGATTGGTTGGATGTATCGATGTGTTGTCAGAAGGATGGATGAATGTGCTTGTAAATGCATATTCAAATGAAACACTGCAACTTTACGAACACACTTTCATTTGCGTCTTTCCCAGATGCAAGTACTTAGCAGCTCCTAGCGATAACGCACGACGACAACCGTATCCTCTTAGTGAAAGCCGGTGTGCTTGTTTTGACATTCTGTTGCTACGATTCATGTCATCCTGTGAGGAGTGGAGCCTGTGACCTCTTGTTGATTTGTGCTAAGACAGCAAACTTACACCATGGTGAAAATCAGTTCGAGTTTGTTTGGTAACTAAACAAATAGTGAAAAGCAAACAAGAGTTTCCTTTAATGTCCTTAGTACTGGTTGGATGGGATCGGTTTTCCAACCGGTGAATGAGTTACAGTTGTTAACACAGAACGTCTATGATTTCATGTACTGATTTTGGATGGGATGTACAATCACATAATTAAAACTAATATAATTAAAAGGATAGTTCACCCCAAAATGAAAATTCTGTCATCATTTACTCACCCTCATGTCCCTCTGACATTCTTTCTTCTGTGAAGCAGAAAAAAAAAAGAAGATATTTTGAATAATGTCTTAGTGTTCTTTTTTTGGTCCTTACAATGAATGTCAATGGGATTCAAAAAACACTGGACCCCATTGACCTTCATTTTATGGACAGAAATGTTCTTTAAAAGTTGTACAGGTTTGGAATGACATGAGGGTGAGTACAAAATCATACCTGAATCATACCTGATGCTCCTACTACTGTTGCCTTTCTGATTAGTTTCTGACTGGGCTTTCTGTATTGCTTTACATTCTTTTTATATCAGATGCAATACCAACAGTACTTGAACCACCAACTGTTATTTTACCCAGATGGCAAGCTGAAGTCAGCCAAGAGGTCTAAATCCATCATGAAGGCACACCAGGCAGTGAAACGAGAAATTTAAGCTTTAGTTACGGCATTCACCAAAGGTCAATGCAAATGAGGAGAAGCGTTGTGAAAAATAATATACCATAATCACACACATTCCTCTCCGGACAGCATTCGATTTCTCACAGGACTCCAAAGTTAGCCCGAAAAATTTAAATTGCTCAATAAGAGGAATGAGAAAAAAAGGGCTTGCTCAAACGTCTGCGAAGCACAAATTTACCTGACCTCCTCAGGGTAAACTAGTCCTGGCCAAATAAGCTTTTAATGGTCAAGAAAGAGGACGTGCATTGCAAATCCAGGCTTGCTCACACACACGCACAGGTAAAAAAAAAAAAAAAAGAGCTGGAGCAGTAGAATAAATTGGCTCTTGTTACTATCCTTTTACGAGATCTTTTTATTTGCGAGGCAGTAACCGAGCTGCTTATGAAGCGATTGGCCTCGTAATGAGCAGAATATGAAGGGAGGAGGGCCCCTCACGGGTCCTTATGACTTACATCACCCTCTCTTCTTTTGTCCTGCCTCAGAGCAGTGACTTTGCTCCATTTCAGAAAGATGGGAAATAATGGAGGTTGATTATACGTGACCTCTCTATGAGGGACTGTAGGCAACACTTTCTCTCTTTCATGTCTCTTTCATATTCCCTTCTCCTTTGTGCTCTCTTTACTTTTCCACACACACTTTGATACATACACCTGCTTGCTTTGTGATGTTTTATTCAAGGGCAACTAAATATTTCCTGTTTGCATTTTTTCCTTGTCCTAGAAGGCTGTGACTTTGCTTTGTTTTTATCACTTGATACAGAATACATTCACTGAACCATAACTATGCCCACTAGAGTCTGTATCACTTTTTAATTTTATTTATTTATTTATTTTTGCGTTTTTTGCAGTGGTTGCAGGCAATAATCTGCAGAGTTATTCTGTGGAAAGGATTTAGACAATAAAATATGATAAAAGAGATGAGATCCTACACTTTTACACTATTAGTAGCTCATTGCATTATCAAATTTAACAAAATATTCTAAAATTAACATGTGATGTGAGATCAAATTTATATGTCTTTCTATGGACTTTCTGTGGAATTCTGCATGTGCTGATCCCATACAGGCACACTTCACAATAGGAAAGTGCAAAACTACATATTTTCAAAGGTTTGCCTTAACTTTTAATCGACTAATCAGTCTTAACTAGAAACCTAGAAGCCTATGATTAGGATGGTTTTCGGCTCACCTGACGAACTTTTAATAGTCAAATTTGAGGACCTGGTTGTTGGAGAACTAGTCAACCATTATGAATTATCACTACTGCATACGTACCAACTACCGTTCAAAAGTTTGGGGTCATTAAATTTATACTTTTATTCAGCGAGGATACATAAAATTGATAAAAAGTGACAGCAAAGACATTTATAATGTAACAAAAGATTTCTGTTTCAAATGCATGCTAAAAACTTTCTATTCATCAAAGAAACCTGAAAACGTGTATCATAGTTTCCACAAAAAATATTAAGCAGCACAACTGTTTTCAAAATTGATAATAATAAGAAATGTTTCTTAAGTACCAAATAAGAATATTAGGATGATTTCTGAAGGATCATGTGACACTGAAGACCAGAGATACGATGCTGAAAATTCAGGGTCGCCATCACAATAACAAATTACATTTTAAATTATATTAAAATAGAAAACAGTTATTTTAAATTGTAATAATATTTCACAACATTACTGTTTTGTATTGTATTTTTCATCAAATAATTTCAGCCTTAGTGAGCATAAGAGTCATGTTTCAAAAACATAAAAAAATATGACAGATCTCAAATGTTTTTGTATTCGCATATATATGTCCTCTGTACTCACTTGTTGAATACCTTGTCTTCAGTTGTTTAAGTGATAAAAATAAGGCCAGTTCACGTTCAGCTGTGACTCAATTGCCCTGTGTGTTTCTGTGGGCCCTTCATTCCATAGTTCACGTCTTCATACTTACAGTGGGGAAATCTTATACAACCTTACCCTGAGGAAAACACAAATAAGTCAGGTGGCAACAATTGTGTCTGTTCGTGTGCTCGAGTGAGCTTTGAGACGTGACGGTTCAGTAATCCAGCCAGCAGCAGTTGTCTTACTGTAAGCTTTCACCTCTTGAGCTGTAAACTTTCAACGAATACCAACAGAGGGTCAATGCAGCTTGAAAAAAATGTGTATGTTTTCTGTCAAAGTTTGAATTCAGAAACTGCAACAATTTGGCACTTTGCTTGTATCTTTAAGTCATTAGGCCGCCAAAGTGTCACACTAATAATTAACTTCTCTAAAGTTGTCCTTGACTTTACGTCCAGTCACAGTGGACTGCACAACGTACAAAATTGTTGAAGCTGTGAGTTTGCCTCCTGTTTTCCCTCTGTTAGCTCCGATGTCACATATGTTACGTTTGTGTGCTGTGTAAATCCCTCTCGTTTAAATCTAAATTGACACTATTGAATTAGTCACACTGGAATGTTTCTAATTGCAGATACGGCCGGGTATGGGGAACGGCTGATTTTCGTGTACATTTGTGCGGTGAACGCAAGCGTGTGTACGCTTGAGCAACGTGCCATGTGTATTTGTGGTCATGTGGGAACAGACCTAGCTGAGGGTGTATACGCTGGTTTTAACTGACCCGTGCCGACCCCTGGGCGCTTGGAAAGAGACTGATGGAAAGATGTGAGAGCGTAGGGTGGTGTGAATGAGAAAGACAGGCAGGATCCAGCTGATGGAGACAGCTGCAGCAGCAGGAAGAGACTTACTGGCTCCAGTACTGGTGCACATCTCTATGTCTCACTGTCAGTTTCCCTACTGTCTGTCTGAAAAATTTAGTTGACTCCTTGGAATGTTTGACATGTTTTTGGAATGTTGCTGGAAAATAGGAGAAAAAGAGTCTGAGAGAGTGACACACAGTGAACTGAACAGGCCAGAGGTGAAGAAAATCTGTTCCTGTCCTTCACAGAAATCAAAGACCGTGTCTACCAGATAATGTCTTGTAAACTCGACACCATTGGGTGTAGCCCATTATGATTGAATTTCAATCCACATTTTATCCTTCCTGAATGATATGCAAGATTAGAAATCTCACAGGGCCAGATATATTACACCACAAAATCAGAATGCTATTTTATTTTGCATAAAGGCTATAAAGCCTATTTTTAAAACAAAGATTTTTTGCATTGCGATGTTATTTTCATGACTATTAAGCATATGTAACCTCAAATTTTCTTTGCTGTAATGTATCCGTATGTATATATATATATATATTACGTGTAATACAATAATAATCATTAATGCATTACATGTGTCCCATTATTTTATATGATCTCATAGTGTATGTAACAAATTTAACAAATGATTGTATAGTTTATTCATTTTGAATGTTGCCTCTGTATTTCTGTAATGCTGTAATTGCGATAAAGTATAGAATATTTGTTTTTACAAAAAATCATAAATTACAGGTAGAAAAACAAATACTACAATAATGTGAAATTTGAAAATGTGAAAATAATGTGAGGATTAATATTTTTTTATACTGCAGTAATGAGAATTGAGGAAAAATGTACTTAAAGGGGTCATATGATGCGATTTCAAGTTTTCCTTTCTCTTTGGAGTGTTACAAGCTGATTGTGCATAGATAAGATCCCTGAAGTTGCAAAGACTAAAGTCTCAAAACCAAAGAGATATTCTTTATCAAAGTTAAGACTCTGCCACGCCCCCCTAAAACGGCTCATTCTAACACGCCCCCACATATCTACCACACTATATGGAAATATTTGCATAATGCCACCCAAATGTTCA